TAATGACCTAGTCATAAAAAGCCACCAGGTTGGTCTGACAGGACCTGCCGCTGATGAACCCAAATGCTCCCTGACTCCACTCTGTTCCCTGTTATCCTATATATCCTCCATGCTCAGTTCCATCCCATGAGAACCCATCATCCTTGTCACCCCCTGCCGATCTTGCCCCCCAGCATCCCTGTCACCCCTTCCAACCTTGCCCCCTCACTGCCCCATGAATCCACTGCACCCTGCACAAACCTGCCCCCATAATGACCTACCTCCTCTGTCCCCTCACCATTCCCCTGATGCCCCACTGAGTCCTCCTCTGCCCTTCTGAGCACCCAACCCTCAGTGTAGTCCCTGACACACTTGGGCTGTCCTTGCCAACAATCTTGCCCCAGCCCCCTTCACAGCCTGTTGTAGCCCCAAAGCCCCCATCATACCTCTTACCCCCAAAGTCTGTCTGTCCCTCACAATCCTCAATCCATAACACCCAACATCCTTTACTCAACAGGCTCCCTTTCCCCCAAAAAACCCCTTGGTGCCTGTGACCCTGCACCCCCACATCTAGCCCTCTGTGGCCTTTCCCTCAGAACCCCTCCCAAACAATTCCCCCCCCAACCTGTCTTGGCCCCTGATCATGGGGCAGGTGGGGGCCAAGCTGTAACTGCCCCATCTCTCCTCCCCACCCCCAACGTAGCTGACTTCCACTACTCTCCATCCTCAACATGCAGAAATGAACAGTTGGGGCTGGAGGAAGATTCACTTCAGCTTCTTGTAGCACCCCTATGCAGGAAAGCCAGCCTTTCTGAATCCACCCATACTCAGCTTAATGTCGTCATGGCTGTGTTGCTGGTTCAGCCTTCATCACCTACTGAATGACCCAGAAAAGGGTCACTGCAGTAACTTACCTCTTTGCCTCATTTCTGCAACTCCCTCCTGTCTCTGAATGCTGTGCTACCTGCCTTCAACAATGCCTGTCCCCCTCCTTGCTCATCTCTGATTTTGTTGTGAGTTTGAATCCCCTAGGAACAAAGCCACTTGCTGTGGGCTTCTAGGCAATGTGCACCTTTATGGACAGGCTAGGGTAATGAGGAGAGAAACAGGATACCAGGACAAAAGAAAGTATAGGTTGATTAGTGGGAGATCAGGGTTGTTGTTAACATCTGTGGAATTAAGAGTACAAATCATGTAGACACTAATGAGCCATGAAATCAATTGACTGTCAGCTCACCTGTATAGAAATGTACCTGTCTCTGTTGGACAGTTTGCTTAAAACATTTCAATGGAGCAGGAATCAGAGGGGGTACAACTGCCCCCTGCCCCCCCCCCATGCACCTCAGACCAATATTTGCTAATTGTTTGGAGATCTATGAATTTAAAATGCCACCAAAGCTGCATGGATGGGAGGGGATAGCTTACACCATTGTTTCCCATCCTTCATCTGTTCAGTTGATGTTCCTGCTTCCAGAGGTTTCAGTCTAAGGCTAACAATTCAAATCTTTGCTTTTTAAAATTAATACATGCATCAAGAAAATGATATAAAAAGTAAGAGGGTGGATTTATCTGACCATGTGCTTTGGGCCTGATTGCTGGATTTGCTATGCATTCAAAACTCCCATTGATATCAGCACAATTGTAAGTTTTTTTTTAAATCTGAGTGCTAGTTGGTGGAGCTAAGCTTTTAACTTGACGACCTGGTGAAAACTGCCTAAAAGGCTAAGAACCAGTGCTGTAGGTTTTACTCTTTCATATCATTTGTTATTTTCCTCTAGAAATGTTATGTCATTTATAGTATATTTTGGTGTCGACTGTATAGTATATGATCTTTGTTGAATTTTTTCATTAAGATTATCGCTCTCAAATATTGCTACAGAATTCTGTCTGAATTATGTCTGATGGATCCTGCAAACATTGATCTAATATCCTAGCTTTATGTGCAATTTGATAACAGCCTGATAATTTCCCCCCTGGTAAATGTACCGAGAGAATAAAAATAACACAATCCAGTTTGCTGAATAAATCAGAAGAATATTAGAATCCAAATTGGAAATATGTATTTAGGAAGACTGCAGGCTTTGGGCTAGTGGTAATAAGGTGCAGAGTGTTTCAGCTCTGCTGTTGAGTAGGAATCCAGAACAGTTCAGTAGTGAATGGAGTCATTGCTATCTGGTGGCTGTTCAGTAGCCAGTGTAGAATGAGCTGCTCATTCAAAGTGCTAGTAGATGTATGACACAAGATGGTATCCTCCAGATACCATCTTGGTGTTCAGTACAAGAACCACCTTTTGAAGTAAATTGGTGCTATGCAGGCACTGGTATCCAAAGATCTGAAGCACTTTATAAGCATCTTGGAACTAAATTTCATGTTGTCCTTGTGAGATTATAAATAGTCTCTTCCCCTCTTTATAGATGGAGAAGAAGGGAAATGAGGCACATTATGGTTGGAGGGAGGCCTGCTCCAAATTTGGCTGAACTTAGTGAGAGCCTTTTTGTTGAACTTCCTGAGAAATGAATGAGTCCCTAAGGACCTGATCCAGAGCCCACTGACGTCTACGGAAAGAGTCCTATTGTCTCTCAAAATTTCTGAAACAGTTCTCAGTTCTATCACAGACAGGTCATTAAGGATGATAACACAAGTCCTTCAAGATCCAGTTTTGTGCCTTAGCCAGCCCCAAGCCAGCAGAACAGTTATTGCCATCTCCTCTCAGCAGTCTTTTGAAAGGGGTGAAGCACTGAACAAGCAGAAAACATGAAACATTTCATATTTCATGGCTCACCTGCACTGTTGGTGTCCCTGTAGAACCTGTGTTGTGTACAAGTAGAGTCAGTGGCATTCAATAATGTCAGTGGAAGTTAGGTATGTAAGGCTGTGGTCTTTGGATGGAGCAAGAACCAAAGCATCAGGGTACAACCAAACCACTGCACCGCTAAGAATGGGTCTAGTCTTCTATGTAACCCTCTGAAACTCTGCCTCCTCATTTCTCCTCCTCACATGATACCCTCTGGAAATGAGGCAGTGTACCCACTTAAATGGAGCACTTAGTACATGTCTCCTGCCCTAGATGTGCTCGTGGGAGTGTGCTCAGGGAAGCTAGATTGCATGCATCACATCCTAGAAATGAGGCAGAGTTGGGGCAGTAGGTGAGGAGCACATCTTAGTGATGTTTTAGGGAGTGGCACAGAGGCAGTATAAACAATTCCATATCGTGCCTGGCAATAGTGCCTTCAAGCATGTTCCTCATGAGACTTCCTGCCAACTGTCTCCTTCACCAGAAGCAGTATAGCTATGTTGGGATAATTAGCACTAGAATGAAAGCCAACTAGCCCACCTGAAGACCTATGTGGACTCCCCTATGCATCTGGGTTGGGAGGCAACTGGATCAATATGGCATGCTTGAAGGTGCTGCTACTGGAGAAGGTCAGTTTACCACAGAGGCATAACTGGGTACGTCACTTCGGGTGGTGACCGTGCATGGGACAGTATCAGTGGCTGGGCTGCTGGTGGTGGCAACAGAAGCTGAGTTGGCAGCACAGCAGCTGGTATTTTTGTGCCCTGCTCCAACTCAGTGCCCCAGTCACCCCTCCCCTTAGCTACATTACTGCTTTAACATGTAGCTAGGGAAAGAATACCATATTTACTCACATACAGCATGCACCTTCCCCCAAAAATTAGCCTTCTAAAGCTTGAGCGCATATCTTAAACAGGGGAGTTAATTTTTTTTACCCAGAAGAGAAGAATGGAGATATGGTTGCTGCTACTTTTCCTTCTATTTCTTCCAGAAGCTACATGGAGGGTGGAATGGAGGCCATTGGGGCAGAGCTGTAGCGGATACAGTGGTATGGTTGTAGCTTGCTTTGATTCTTGTTCCACCCAAAATTTAAAACCAAATGTCTGGCAGCAGCAGTGGCACTTCTCTTCAGGCAGTTCTTGAGGTACTCAATGGACTTCATGGCTCATTACAATCCAACAGATTCCTCCTAATTTTTCTTCGCTCTGCAGATAGTCTTAATACTCTACTAATCACACTAGCTTTTTTTCAGCAATTTTGCTGTCTGTTGGCTACCTTTTGGTTTCTCTTCTCATATTTCACAGCCCTGCAGGCTGTTCTTAGTTCTTTTCAAATGGAATCCAGTCTTTAGCAACAGCTATAGTTTCAGCTTTTGGCTGAGCAGCCAAGAGGTGCTCGTTCAGCTGTGAGAAAGTTAAAACTGTAGCGTCTTCCCGAGCAGGAAAGGGAGGATAAGTGATCTGAAGGTTAGGCTATGTCCCTGCTCTGAGTGTCCATAACACTGGGAAAAATCTCTTTCCCCCCTCCATTTTGCCTTTGTGAAAACAAGGTATGTGTCTTATTTCGGAGCACATAGTACCTTTTTGATTTGCTTTAAGGGCCTGATCCAACTCCAGTCTGATGTTAATGGAAGTCTTCAATTTGCCCTTCACAGGATATGAATCAAGCTCTAACCAGCCTATATTTTACAAAGTAACATATAAACAGTACTTTGTAGGGGCCTCAACCCAGTGGTGTAACAAGATATGGGTGAGCAAGAGCATTGGCCCCAGGCATTGATTTTAGAGGGCACAAGAATGGTGACCACTGCCAACCCAGCTGCCACTGGCCTCCCAGGTGCAGAAATTGCTTGTTATGCCTCTTCTCAACCTATCAACCATTACTTTGTGTCATTCCAGTGAGCTCAGTGGTTCTACTGTAAAAAAGGATTCATGCAGGACTCATTTTTTAGTTTTACCAAATTTCCTATTTCTCTAGAATCTCAAGCAAAATCGCAACACAGCCTATCAGTAATGCGAGCAGCATCCATTTCTTTTTACAATTTCCTTTTACAATTTTTCTGTCTTATCAACTGCTATAGATGCTTCCCTTCCTTTCTTAAGAATATAAGAATTTCTGGTACATCCTGACTGAACTGTAAAAAGACAGCGTTGAATAGCTAGAGAGATTGAAAATAGAGGTCTGCAGCTCTCTGCTCCTTCACACAATGTTAGAGCAGCCCATGTGACAAGTAAATGTGTCCACTCTTGAAACTTAATTCTCCTAAAAAAGAGAGGCAGTACAGCTAAGAAAGAAAATGGCACTAAATGAGACCATTCTTTTGTCAAAAGCTATAATGAAACCAAGGGAAAGAGACAAAATCAGTTCATTCTTATTTGTAATTTGCAGATTGCAGTCTTGTCCTTCATTTAGATGTAGTGTTGATGGGCTCAAAATTGGCTCTTGGTATATTCCACAAGCTTTTTTGCTTGATACTGGTTTATCTGTCCCAGTTGTTTTTCTTTCCCTTCCAGTAAAATTGGCTGCTAAAACTTATGAAATTTGCAGTGGCTGTCGGGTTTCTTTTAATGTTTGCTCTATTATTTCCTAGTCAGTAATGGTAAATGCGTTTCATGTTCCTCCTTGCTGGAAGCCTAGGAGACTGAGCCATTCATAATTATGAAATTGGTAGTTGTTCTCTAGGTTCATTCATAAGTAGTGATTTACATTATTGATTTTTTTTTCCCCCCTATAATTGCTTGAATCCCACACTTTGAGCTGGTTCCTTCTGTCTGGGAGGATAGGCAGATAAGGATAGGATTTCTCAAAAGCCCTGAGTGAAACTGGAATACAGAGACCCGCTAAAAGCCATCTAGACACTTCTGAGAATCTCGCATTTAGTTCTTAGTTAGGGCATCTGATTGTGGAAATGGATCAGTAGGTGTGCATGGTAATTCATGTCTATCAGTAAGGGTTTAGAGAAAATGGGACTTATTAGAGCAGGGCCAACTTGTTCTTCAAACAGTTCATTTACCAAAAAATTAAGTTTTTGTTGCTCTGAACCAGAGTTTGCCAATTTGGGGTTGAATTTAGCAGCTAGCTTAAGCTAAATAAAGAATTTGGAAATAAGGTTATGATTCATTTTACCATTTCCAAAACAAACTCTTTCAATTCATTGGGCTTGATCAGGGGTGGATAGGGGAGTATGGGGTCGGGGTAGGAGGGGGAAGTGCACTGGCAGAGTTGTACCCATCCTTTGATTCCTGCTTTACCCAAAGTTTAAAACTAACTACATATCAGTGGCAGCAGCATTTCTGTTCAGGCATCAGAAAAAGTGTCAAATTTATGACTCATTTAAAATCTACCTGATCCCTTCTACACTCTTCATTCCACAGATGTTAATGACCTTCCTTTCCTTTTGAATCATCTTGATGTTCCACTAATCAAGCTAGACTTCCTTCTGCAATTCTCCTGTCTATTAGCTGCTCCCGGTAACATAGCTGCTATTTCACTGCCCTACTGACTGGTTTTAACGTATTCCAATGAAGTTATATTGTTATATTTAACATTCCAATGTTAAACTGAATAATGTAACCATAGGCTCTTAGTATATTAGTGAAACTTCTGGTTTCTTTTTACCTGGAGAAAAATGTGTTGTATTATATGGGAGGATGCACTCATCATGTGAACCTACCTTTTCAAAATCCTATTCATGTAAGGTTTACATACTACTTGCAAAAACTCTCACCTCTATCTTATACCCATTGGTTGGGGTGTTTTCATAAGGTGTGGGATACCAAAGCTCAAATCTCTTCACTGCCTGACTTGGAGCAGGGATTTAAACACAACTCCTACCTCTCAGAAGAGTGCCCTGCCCACTGAGCTGTAGGGTATCTTGGGGCTGGGCATATTCAGTGCCTCCTGGTTTGTAAAGTGGAGCAGTTTCATATTCACTGGGCCAGAATGAAATTGTGTAAAAGAAAGCACCTCTTCTGGTAGCTAGATTACTTTTAAGATGGGGGGCTAATATAAACCTAATTACTGAATCAGGCAGAGAGGGGATTTTGATCAAGGTCTCCAACACTGGTGGGAGAGGAACCTAATGCTGCCCCTTGTTTTTGTAAATGGTGAATTTACTTTCCAAGGTGAATTCAGCCTTTGCCTTTTATTAATTTAAAAAAAAAAAAAAAGAAATGTGGAAATAAAATGAAAAATATCTGATTTTGATCAAATGAAATGTTTGGGTATGTTGACAGTACTCTCATCCCACTACACTACCTGTGGCAACTTAAAGGATGGTGTTATTTCAGGCACCATGCTTGGGAGCTGTGTATGAGGGTTGTTCCTGAAATGCTTAGGAACAAGTTAGACTCATACTTGTGGTTTCAATAGGCATGGTCCTGCCATGAGTAGGTGGTTGAACCAGATGACCTCCTGAGGTCCCTTGCAGTCTTACTTTTGTGACATGGCTATAGATATTGGGGTGAGGGGACGATGTCAGATCCTAAAATTGATAAAGTTACTGTGACACAATACTCTTAGACTTTTGTGAGGCATTTGATTTTAATCCAGCATGACATTCTGACTTTTTCTTTCTTTCTTTCTTTCTTTTTAAATAAAAGTGCTATATGAACTCCTTGTAGCCCATTTTTTACTGGGTTAAAAACTAGCTAACCACATCTCAAAAGTTGATTGTAAAAAGGGAATCATCGCTGTGTAGATATTACTTCAACAGGGATCTCACACAGTTCAGTTCAGTTCTTTGTCTGGTGTTAATCAATATATTAATGAGTTGGAAGAAAATATAAAAGCGTATTGCTGGTAAAATTTGCAAATTGCACAGCAATCTGAAGCATGATAAATACATTTGGACCAGCGAGTTACACCAGCCAACCCATCCATGTTCCTGGTGAAAGTAGGGTCATTTGAACAACATATATTTTAATAGTCAAATCTGTGGCCTGAGAACAAAAAGTGTAGGATGAGGGATTATATCTTGGAAAGCAACAACACTGAAAAGGACTTGGGGATCTTGATAGACGAGCATTATTAGATCATGGTGCAATGGTGCATTTTGGGGAAGAAATGCAGTCTTTGAATGCAGATGGAGAATATCAAGTGGAAGAAAGAAGGTGGTGTTAATTCTGGATATGCCATTAGTACACCCATTACTGGAATACAGCGTCTAGTTTGGTTGCTAGACTACATACAGTAAAGATGTTTGTATCTCCTTTGAATACAAGATGACCACCCCCAACCCAATAATTAGATTCTTTACACGGAAAATGTATAAATCTTCCATATATAGTAACTAATTAGTGGGAGGTCATCTTTAAATGTGTCTGCCCGCCCCCCGACACCCTAGACAGCTATGGCAGGGAAACCAGTGGTGGGGGGTGAGGAGCCAGTCCCCAGCCCCTTTTGTTCCTTTGTGCCTGCCCCT